ACATTGTGTTTGTTTCATTCCAAATCCATTGTGGTGGTATATAGAGCCAAAGATGTTAGAATTGTGTCGATGTCCCAATATTTCTGGACCTGACTGTATATCCACATACCCTTCCCTCCCTTCAGAAAGAAGTTCCCTGGGATATCTTTTTCAACCTTTGCAGGGTGTGGGCTGCTTTATATGGATTCTGTGGATCTGATTCTCTTTTCTTTTCATGGTCTGGAGCCAGATGCAACTGAACTGTAACTCTTTGACATATTCTGTGTTCACACCCCTCTTGCAGAGCAGAAATTCAATGGACTTTACTTTGGGTAAACTTGCTGAAGATCCCACTGCTCATTTTGCTCTAATGTTACTGAGTGGCTATTTTTCATCTCCTTAGCCCACTGTTTCTTAACCTTGGCAACTTTAAGACATGTGGACTTCAACTCCCAGAATTCCCCAGCCAGCCATGGGGAATTCTGGGAATTGAAGTCCACATGTCTTAAAGTTGCCATGGTTAAGAAACACTGCCTTACACTTAGGGTGTGTTCATATGTGGGTGTTAGGGAAGGTCTTTAAAGACAGGGAAAGTATCTGGTATAAACTGGCTTATTAGGCAAAAGCAGGGGAGGGGGAACCAAAGGAAGTTTTTCATCAAACTTCCCTAAAAATCTCCAGGACCTGATTAAATTATGAACTTCCATTCTATTTTTGATCTGACTCTGCCATTTGTTATGTAATAAAGAGTAATTGTTTTCTGTCTCTAGCTAAATAAAAGACAGCAAAAGAAGGTATTCCCCAATTTCAAAGAATTTCCTGGGTCAGCAGTAGCAGCGGCCACCATCACCAAAAGAAAATATCCTCAAGGAAAATGACTAGCAAGAAGATCAGGTCAGTCGTGCCCTTTTTTGCTCCTTGCCTTTCAAAAGCTGGTGATTCTGTTCACATGATATTTGTCATTACTGAAGGTGAGAAATAGGTTATTGAATGGAGCATAAGAGAATTTAGCTGGAAAAGAGCAGAGGGATCACAATCTACTGCACATTTCCTAAGAGAAAAACAGAGTAGAAGTGAGCAATAAATGCAGTGACTGAAACTGCTTCAGCCAACATTCTCCCATTCACACTAATACAGTAATACCTTGGTTCACGAACACTTCTGTTCACAAACAATTCGGTTCACGAACAGCACCGTTTGCAAAATTTTGCTTCCATTTGCGAACTCCGCATCGGGTGATGAACACGACCCGCGGCCATCTTCCCTGCTCTGACACGTGGTCATGGCTTCCTGTAGGCGAGGGGGACTCTCCCTCCAAACAATAACCGTCTCCCCACCCGCCTTCCTGTCCTCCACGCCAGAAGTCACTTCAAGCAAGATTAGTGTTCTCTCTCTTCGTACTGTACTGTACTGCACTTGGTTTCATATTTTTGTGGTTTAAAAAAAAAGTACATATGGTTCAGAACGGATTAACTTTATTTACACTGAACCTTATGGGAAAATTTGATTCGGTTGGTGACCAAAATCGATTGGCAACCACATTCGTAGGGGTCAGAACAGATTAACCTTATTTACATTGAACCTTATGGGGAAATT